AAAGCAGATCAACTACACGTGCATCTAAAGTAGGCGTATTATGTTTTAAATGCTCTAGCCCCCTAAACTGAGTGCTGAATTCTCTCAGTAGTGTGCAGAAAAACGTGCACCTTGCCTTCGGGCAACAGAAGGCTGGATGAGTTGGTGCAAAAAGAAATGTCTAGACAGTTCGAGTGTGGATTGAGTGGCTGAGCTGTGGGTTGACTGCTTGGCTGCATTCGACTCACTGTGAAGGAAAACCGAACGAGTCGGTTGGCTTCAAGTTTTGAAGTCACTTCAAACGATGATCTGACCCAGGTTGAATTACGTCACATTGCTTTTGACAGGGTCTCATCGGAGGCCTGATAAAGGTCCACTGAAGTATCATGCAGCCTCTGTTGCACATCTAAGTTGCAAACAAACACAACAGTTGGCTAGGACGACATTAAAATAGCAGTGGCTCGATGAAAGGGTGGTTGGATGGGTGGATTTAGATGGAATGAATAGACGCGAAATAAGGGAACGGGAAAGGGGAAGAAAGGGGAAGGGGATTGATAGATGCAAATTGAGAGGACTGGTTGAATGGATGTGGGATGAAAGGAGCGTAAACAAATGGACAGGAAGTAGGTTGATTAAATACAGGCTAAACTTGCGATCAAAGTAAGACTGAACAGATACCGAATAAAGTAGCATGCGTGTGATGGAATGATTTCGTCCGTTTGAATATCAGGGGAGCCGTTTGTACGGCTGTGTAGATGAATCAAGAATGAATATTGAGAATTGTGTTAGGCAAATTATGAAAGGATGCAGTAAAACGGCACTTGGACAACACAGCTTAGAGAACATTGGATAAAAGCAGAATCGTGGAAATGCAGCAGGTCTCCATTGCCTACGTTAATAATGCATTATGAGGTGGAACGCCAGAACCCAATGCATGGGTAGAGGGAGGGATGGATGAATGGAGCAATAGAGTGTGTTCGCCGTGAAATGACTGGTAGTGTGAAGAGGTAAAGGAACGTGTGGAGAGTGGAAAGGACTGCGCACTAACATCGGTCCGCGTTGAGACGTGAAACAAATCTTTGCGAGGAGAGAAAGTGGAACTACGTTGCAGCACATCATCACTTTATTTGATCCCATTTTGAA